CGGGTCTGTTCAATAAACGCTGCTCCTGTGCCCGGCTGCCCTGTGCCCCCGTGTGACAGAGCCTTCCTGGCCGGCTTGCAAACAGCAGCGTGTAGGAGAGCGAAACTGCTCTGCTGCTGTGTTTTTTAGTTCACTGTTTGAAGAAAAAGGTGGTGGGATGTGACTTCACTTAACGTGAATACATTTGCGCTGCCTGCTGCAACTGAATCACTGAAGATTTACACCCTGTGACAGAGCAAACCTGGCCGGTGTTCGCTGTTTTCATGCAGAACAAGATTCCATCTTGATCTGTATTTACTCTTGTTACTGTAGCCCTTGGGTCCCTGTCGAGGCCCTTGCTGTGGTAGGCAGGGTCACTATGGAGGCCCCGTTCAGGCATATTTTTTTTTTAAAAAAAGTAGTTTTCTCTTTTAACCGCAATCAGATCAGAAAAGAAAGATGGGATGGACTTCCTAATAGTTCTGGCATTGCCTGTCCTTTTTGAACTAGTTGCTTTTGAAGCTGTCCTTTCTCGAAACATCCGTGCGGTGACAGGTGCACTCTTCCTCAATCTCACTGTTTTGTGCTGCCAGGTGAAGAGTTTATAGTTGGAAGAGTTGGGCAAAAAAAAGTAAGTTGGGAAGCAAAAGAGCGCTCACCAGCTCAATTAAATCAACAGCCCTCATATTGGAACATATTTTCGTTACTGTGATTACTGACAATTTTAAACAGCCCGATGGTAGAACTGCAAGCAGGGTTGAAATTAAGTTTGTGCGATTTGTCATCGCCGTGAAATAAAATGGAAATTTGGGAAAAAGCATGGTTGTAGGAAAAGGTGCGGATAAAATGCCTTTTATCAGCGAGGAGTGAATGACTGGGGTAATTTGGAGTTTTTGCCCATTTCCATGCGGGTCTGCACATCAGAAGACAAAATACTCCTTGACAGCAGGGGCTATAATCACTTTACAAACCCAAGGAATTATTTAAGCAGTTATTATTCTTGTGTATTTAGACTTTGTATAGGAATAATTAAACTGTCAAATAGGTGTTGCAGTGACATTTCTCCAAAGATACCGTACTACACTTCAATACCAATGTCCCTGTTATGATTTAAAAAAAACCCAACAATAAAAAAGGCCTATTCACTTTTTGAATCATCAAGCTAGACATAGAGTGAAAGGCGATGGTAAAATGTGTTTCCTGGTACTCTTTGTGTAACTTTTCAGATAGAAGTTGCTTTGTTTTTAGTACCCTTGAATATAGTCATATTGGGCGAGATCCTTACCTTGTGTAAGGTAGCATTGTTACATTGAAATCAGTGGCGTTTTTTCTTTGTACAAGCTCATTTATATCTCTTTCAGTAAAATGCTGTTTTTAAAACTGTAATCAGTGCGTGGTTATAGTTTCAGGTGTTTAATAGAAGTACTGTTTTTCCTTTTCAACACTCACAGGCTTAACGACTCACTGTAGTATAAAGTAAATAATAGACATTTAAGCCAGGGAACTTCTTTGTTCAGAGCGTGTTCTTGCAGTGTAGCAATTTGCATTTTATTAATAACCCACTTTTAATCTAATACATATAACCATTTGTAGTCCTTAAACAAGGACAGCTTCTACTATGATAGATAGACACGCTTCTCTCATGCTCTGAGAGACCTTGGTGTTCCAGCAGGACTTTAGCTTTTTGACATCTTTGTATTCAGTTAAAATACAGCAACATCGTTGGAGTAGCGTTTGCTATAAAAGGGTCTAAACCATCGTTTTTCACTTTTGTTGTACATGAGGAGTGAATAACTCTGGCTAACTGTGAGGCTTCACAAACATAGTAATGCCTTCACTTTATAATTTTTTCTTTCATAAAGTTAGTTCATTTTCTGTGGTCTTCACAGGTGAAAGTCATAAATCAGCCTGAAATGTTGATAGCTGCATAAAAGTATTTATTTTCTTTGCTACTTTAATTGAAATGTGAAATGCAAGTGATATGCTACAGATTTACTTTGCATTATGTGCCAGAATTTACTGGCAGTAATCAACAGACATTTAATACAGAGCTACTGTAGAGTACCATAAGAATATGCACGCATAATTTAAATGAACATCAAACTTTGGCATAAATGAAAAGGAAAAAAAAAATTCTTACATCACGCAGACAAAACAAACAGACATAGTCTTCCATGTTATAACAACTAAGATGTCAAAATAGATAGGTTGTTGAGGAAACACATGTCTTCGTTTAATAGATGAGGTGGAATTAAAACACCTGCAAATTACTGCCGTGGGTATGCTGAGAAGACAGGCTGCAAGGCTGTCATTCCCAGAAGTACAACTTTTTATGGTGATATTTTGGGGAATTTGAGATAAAAATGTCAGTCCCCAGAGAGGTGTGGAGAGAGATGGATGAAATACTCAGCCTGGTCTTCACTTTTGGCATGCTATAGAAGTTTGGCTTGCTTTTTCCTCCTAACACAGAGAGAAATAGATAAATGTAGACAATGTGTGTGGTTTTTTTTTTTAAAGTGTAAGGGTTTAGTCTTTGTTTGCTTTATGGCGCAACAAGCAAATCGATGTTTGATAGTAGTGCATGTTATAAATATCACTGTTATTGGTAGTTGATGTATTTTTAGTATGAAATATTGACTGCCCAGTGTTTGCCCAGTTACGTGCATGTGGATATATCTATCTGTCTGTGAGAATACAGAAGATGCAGAGTTTACTGGATTTTATTAGTCTGGTGAAGAGATTGTTTCAATGGCCTAACACATAATAAATATTAAAAGACAACTGATAGGATCTCCAAGAACTGTGTGTATGTGGGGAAACTTCCTTATTTAGAGAGTGTCAGACTATATACAGTATTCCCTAAGTATGCATTTACATGTGTGTCTGAGCTCATTAAAATTGTTAATTGCAGAGGAAAGTTCATCATTCTTGCTTTATTAATAACAGGCCAGTACAGTTTTCCATGCTCACTTGAAGCTTCTGTTGATGTCTGTAGCTGTTTAGAGCGTGCCTAGAATGCAGAATCAGGTCCACTTGAAATACTTTGCATATAAATTAAGTTGCTTTGCTTCATTTAATTGGCTGATTTGGCTTTGTTGCACTAGTGCAAATCCACTGATAAGGTGGAATTTTGTTGGATTAACACTGGAATACCTGGCACCAATTTTTTACCTTATATTTAGCAACCTTATGCAGAATTATGATTTTAGTAATCCGTGTTTTATAATGAGACGAGAAAAATGCGATACGATGAATTCCTTCAATAATTACTAGGCAAATTAGGCTTTTTATTTTAGACAAAAGACCGATGGTAAATGCTTCAGTTGTGGAAAAATTTTTCAAGTTTTTAAAAAATTAGCTGTATTCGAAAAAGATGATAATTTCAACTGAAAATGTATCTAGTTCTATCAGGTGTGGATGCACTATAGCAAGATAAAAGTGTAACATTTCAAGAAGTTTATTTTTTCGTTGTTTTCTGTAAGACAGTGCTCTAAACTATATATAAAACCCAAGAAATTTTAGAAAAAGTTAATTAGATACTTTATTTTCCTTATGGGCTACCTATTTTTTTTCCCCTCCCTCCGTGTTAGAGTATCATATTGCAGAATAATGCTTACAGACTGATTAATAATAGGTGCCACCATTTTCATTATATAAAATCTATCCACCCATCCTCTTCCCTCAGAGGAATAACAGATGATTAGTCAACCTCTAAAATTCTGATAAATGTTTACCTTGTATCTAAAATTGCGTGGTTATTTCCACTGATGGAACCTTGGAAAGTGAGACGTGAATCAATACCACTCAAAAAGCTTACATATGTGCTACCTTTACAGTTACGTAGTTGGCTCATAGTTATTTTCTTATCCTCCATGCCTCGAGGAAATATTCTTATTGAACCACATAATTCAACCTTTTAAATGTAGCTTCTTCTTTCTGCAAAGAGATCACGGCACATGGGGTTTTTTTGTAAACATAAGTCTCTACCCAGAAAGGTTCCTATTCTCTATCTGGATTAAAATCTCTTTAGTTCCAAAGAAAACAGTTACAGATTTTTATTGTCAAAATAAAGCCTTCCCATTCTCTACAGTGGCATAATAAATGTCTTTTCCTCCTTCACAGATCTTTTCATAATTTGACCCATTAACTCAGAACATTGATTTGTTCTCTATAAAATACATCAGAAAAGAAAAGCACATGTAGAAGAACGGTGAACTACTCTCTGCTTGTTTAACCTTTTGCTTATATTTGTAATTCTGCAAAGCTCCCAGGATGTTTTTTTGGACTTGCACAGTCACAGCAGTGCTGTATAGTAGCGTGTCTCAGACCTACATGCAACTGGTACAGAAGTAATCAGCAGTGGAAAACAATGACCCTCTTGAGCGCACTATGTGACCGTAAGTTCTAATGCCCAAAGAAAGGCAAGGTGCCCTGTCGGTGTCTCCGGGCAGGGTCAACTCCCTGAAGGCTGTTAAATCCTGGTTTGAACTGAGGACTGTGCTTGTTTTATACCATATACCAAATATTGGCTAACTTTTTTTCACATATTGATGAACAAAATTGCTAGAACCTGAAGTTTGATACAAGGTGAGGGATTATTTATTTAATGTCAGTGTGGTATCTGCAAATTTGTAGGAAATTTGTAGATCATTAGTTTATATCAGTTGCATTGCAGGACAGGTAGTAAGGAAGTGATAAAGCAGTGTTCAAACACTGTGTACTTTGCACAGTTTGTTCCTCCCGCCACCCCATAAACCACAGTAGTCAAGCAGTGTCTTATTTGGTACATCCATGAATCAAGTGCTGTGCACAGTAGTAATTGCTTTGGATTTTTGTTTGCTTCTTTTCTAGGTTTCTTGGTGTTACGCAGTTTTCTCCTACTCATGCCAGAAAAGCCTTTCCTTGCTTTGACGAGCCCATCTACAAGGCCACTTTCAAAATCAGCATCAGGCATCAAGCAACTTACTTATCTTTGTCCAACATGCCAGTTGAAACTTCTGTTTTTGAAGAAGATGGATGGGTTACAGATCACTTTTCACAGACCCCTCTCATGTCCACGTATTACCTAGCTTGGGCAGTGTGCAATTTTACATACCGGGAAACTGTCACCAAGAGTGGAGTAGTTGTAAGTATTTCTAATGTCGTATAGAATACATTTTGTTATTTTGAAAACCCTCACTTCTTGTAAGGGATCGTAACATCAAGTACTTAAAGTATTTTCTTGACTAGCATTCCTAAAATTTCCCAGTTTATTTAATGATAGCATGTATTGTTTAGGACCTTTTCTGAAGGTTGTCTAAAATTTTTGGTTTGATACTTTTTTGTAACTGGTTAGCTTAGTAAGTGTGGTTTTCTGATGACATTTTAAGCTTTTAAATATGCCATTTCACTTCACTTTGATTTTCTTGGGAAGTTTTGTCTTGTTTTTCCTGTAGCCTTTTCAATACCAGTGTTCGTGGGACTATTTATTAAAGGAAAGCAGTAGTACTGGCAGCATTTCCAGTCTCCTTCCTTCAGTATTGACGTGTCCGTTGGTGCGTTGTGTGCTAGCTCAGGAGGCTGGTAAAGTAATTTCTATCTTAGAGCTCTTGCTTAGGAGCAGGACTTTACAACCTATCAGCTTCCTGTGGAGGTCCAGATTGATGGAAGCACTAACTTTCTGGAGCTGTTGTTTCCAAATATGGCATGATTCCAGGAGTTATGCCATGAAAAAAAAAAAAAAAAAGAGAGAAAATCCTTTATTTATGTCAGTTTTGTTTTTGTTTACAAATATCAAGCTCAGAACTGTATAACAAGCCAAAACATACATGAGAAATTCTGTCAGCTTAATGGAATATTTCACAGTGCTGTCATCTTGATTTTTCAGGTGAACATACAGAGAAACCCTTCCTTCTTAGTTACTGTAAATAAAAACCCAGAATTAGCTCTGGAAGCAGAGGGCTAGGCGGCAGTTTAAGCTGTGTGCCTGAGCAAAGTGGGTGTTTACCTTATACTTTAGCAAATGCTCTGTGACTTTGTGCTGTAGCCTGGGGGCATGAGGAAGGGCTGCAGGCCTCCCTTCTATGGCTGATCAGGTCAGGAAACATCTCCATAACCAATTTTAGCTATCCTGAGCCTTGAGCTGCTGTGGAGGGAGCTGATCCCACCTACTCTGAGCCAAAGGTATTCTTTGCCCTCCCCTGTGCCAGCCTTCAGCTCTGTATAGCCATATGATCTGGCTGAAAACTGACCTGAAAAAATAAATGAAAATGTGGTACGTTTTCAAGCAAATTGGCAGTCGCACAAAAAGCTGGATCAGAGAACCAGAGTCCTAGTACAGATTCAAAGCTGCGCTGATGGAAGGTGGGCCCAGGACAGCCCTCTGCATTGGCATCCCTCATTTAGGCCATACTGAAGTGATGAGGAAATAAGTCTTGTTTTTGTCACTGGAACAGCTGGGTAAGACACTGGGGGCCTTTCACTCCTTTACAGCCCTTTCATACCATGGCCAGCAGACTGCGACACTACCCTCTGGCCCCACAAAAGGGGAGGAGGAAGCGTGGCTAGGAAGTGGTTCTCTGAGGTGCTTTAAGGATGTGGGAGCTGCTGAGGCCATGCTTGCAGTTCCAGTGGTTACCTGTGATGGCTGAAAGCCTTTGGGTTTCTGGGTTTTTTTTTTTTTGTGTGGTGTGGGTTTTTTTTTTTTTGTGTGGTTGGGGTTTTTTTTTTTTTTTTTTTTTTTTGGCATTTTTTTGGCTAGGTTGTTTCTCTGTCAGTTCAGTGAGTTGAGTTAATTTAGAAAAGGATCTCACAAGTGCCAAGGCAAAGTAGTAAGGAGGAAGAAGTGGATGCCTGGTTCTTAGTGTTGCTGCCAACAGATTAATTATCTGTATAAGAGGGATTGCTCTTGGGTTGAGGAATTGATTGCTGCTGGCTGTTGTAATAGTCATAGAATTATAGAATGGCTTGGGTTGCAAGGGGCCTTAAAGATCATTTAGTTCCAACCCCCCGCCATGGGCAGGGATACCTTTCATTAGACCAGGCTGCTCAAAGCTCCATTCAACTTGGCCTTGAACGCTCCCAGGGAGAAGGCATCCACAGCTTCTCTGGACAACCTGTTCCAGTGTCTCACTACGCTCACAGTGAAGAGTTTCTTCTTAATATCTAATCTAAATCTACCCTCTCTCAGTTTTAAACTGTTACCCCTCGTCCTATCACTGTAATCCCTGAAAAACAGGAGTGTTCACTGCCCGAGTAGAACACGGTGAGATATCAGGCCATTTCTTACCTCCCCATCAACGAGTACCAAAACAAACTTCTATCCAGGTAGGAGTTGATGATTTTCATTGCAATATACTCCACCTGCTGAAGGATTTAGTCTTAAGCTAAGAATGGCCTGGTATTTTTCAGCTTTAGAAAACACTGGTTACTTGGGGTTCTCTTTTATCTCTAAGGTGGAAGCTTTTGGTGTATACTGTAGTAGGTAGGTCTCGTGTTCCTTGTGCTCTAATACAGTGTAACGCTTGCAAGTACGTCCTACATAATACTACCCTATTATCTCACTTTGAAATGTCCTAGACTCATCTGAGAAACAGCTGCAAGCAGTTTGGCTTCCAACATCAGTGTAAGCAAATACATGAAACATGGGGGATGGACCTCAGGACCATCAATTTAAAAGATACAACCTACATCCTCCTTAACTCATTTTCTTGTAGCGTTATTCAGAGCTCATATTCTGCAGACATTTGCTGCTTGAGTACGTTTGATGCCCTGAAGACAGAGGCACACTCATGTCTTATAGACAATAATTGATGACTTCCTGCTATTCTCATATTTGGCAAAACTGTTCCCAAGACTTTAGGTTTAACAGGAATCCAAAGAGAACATCCAAGTATTAATTTGTTAGTAATTTGTGGCTACTAGGGCCTGATAGTATGCTTGAGTCTGGTTCAGTGCATGTAGGACATACAAACGTATACTCTACTGGCCTGACAGTACCATTGTACAGAACTTTGCCAACGATAATGCAAATCCGTGGATAATCTTCACAATAACTCAAAGACCAAAAGCCTATATAGGTTGAGATAGTCTCTTATCCCATAAAATTGTTCCATTAGTCAAAATTTTTAGGTCTTGTTTTTTATAGTACTCCTATCATAGATGTATGTTAATGCCCAGGAATACCAAAATAGTTTACCCTGAGTTATTGGTTAAATATATTTTTCAATCTTTCAGTCTATTTGTGATCTGATCATCTTTCATTGTTGTTCAGTTTTGTTGAAAGAGTATCTTTCAAGGTATGAACTCACAGCAAACACTTTAGACCTGTGTTCATTCAGATGAATTGCTGAGGTAACCCATCTTTTTGAGTCTTTCGTGTTGCAATACCAGGAATTCATGGACACTACTGGGTGAATTTGAAATTACCTGAAACCTGGCACATGCAATTCTCAACTTCTTGGTTTCCTCTGAAGCTACTTTTTCACTAAAACTTAATTGCTCCCATACCTATGGCAATGAATGTAAATGTATGATAAAAGTAAGTTTGCTTCTGAAAATGAATGAATGTTCAGGAAAATTAACTGAACCCCCATATTGAAGCATCCTGATGGTTAATTTCTTGCACTGGGTGATCTTACTTCAATTAATGCAGTGTATATTGTATTTATTTTGTGGACATACAGTAGACACCTAAAAGACTTCAGCTTGCATATACTTTTGCTTTTGTTTTGGCACTTTCTTGAACATGGTTTTGGTTCACAAAGCAGGTTTTTGTGTGTGTGGTGGGGAAGGGGCAGGGAAGTATCCTTTCAAATTTTGACAGCATGCTAATGATTAAAATCTCACCTCTCTTCCAGATGACCAGTCCTACTAAACTGCTGTGGTCAAGGGTAGATAAACTCCCTGAGGAATAAAAGAAACAGTGAGATTAAAAGCAGGTTTGCTCCTCAAAAATGGTTAAGTGTTAGCTGTTCAGTTTTTCCTCAAAGAATGACATTGACCTCAAAATTAATTTTAACCTAAGTGTGAGATTCAAATACAGATCAAGTTATAAATAGAAACTGACTTTTGGAAAGCTTAGGTAGCCAATCAAAATACTAATTTTGGTATATCCTATATAATTCTTGAAGACATGGAGATGTTCTGTATTTCATACACTAAAATTAATTTGGAAAAGGGAATTAAGACAAGCAGTGCTTTTCTAGGAGCACAGATCAGTGGGTGTGAATCATTAGCATAACTCTTTAGTCCATATGGGACTGACCAGAATCCCTTCCAGAGCAGGTAATTTAAAATCAGAGTTGACTTCTTAAATGCTTTACAGATACATAATATGTTGTTCAGATTCATCTGGGATTACAGTTAATGATTCAAATCACTTGATTCTTGTGGAAAGGACTGTGGTGCAGTCATCGTCTGCTGTGGACTAGCGGGCAATACAGTTCTACCAGGGTGCTGCCGGAGGTAATGCTGTATTGAGGAAGGAGGGATGCCCTCACAAGCAGGCTTACCTGATCTTTGTATGGCCCTAGACCTGCTGCAGCTGTGCCAGTTGTAGTTGGTGAAAATCATGGGATCTGTGTACTGTCGTCTTTGCACAGTACAGTAATCCAGAAGCTCTGTTTACTTTCACATGCTTGCTTGCTTCTACTCGTATGTTGTATTTCCTAATCATGCCTCATATGTATGTTCTTTGTCAGTAATTCTTAAAAGCAAAATATTGCTGGCTGGATTGTAATGTCTGTCACATCATCTTTGTGTCTCTTTCCTTCATTGTTGTCTTTATCTGTCCTTTCAATCCACCAGGCCTTTTCCTACTATTGTTACTTTATTTTTTCCCTGTCTGGATTTATTTTTACTGTACTTAATGTTTAGCTGTACTTCTATTCTCCAAATCCTCTTTTTCTCATCATTCACTTGCCAGGTGGACATGGAATCTCACTATATCCTGCATGCCTTCTCACTGTCTCTTTTTAGTTCCTTTCTTTTCTGCTAATTCTTTCTCTTTTCAGTTAGTGGAAGGAGTGAGCACTCAGAGACAAAGCAGAATATATCAGTGAAAATGAACGCATTGCTGGAAAGAGATGTTTCAGGGAGATTCATCATCTACCATTCTCTTTTGCTCTGGATGGGGTGTGGAGATAG